TAGGTCTAAGAAGGAGCAGACAATGATCACTGGTTGATACGGGTGCACGGAGATGGAGAGAGAAGAATTCGGGGTGATTTGTTATAATTCTGTCTAAAACGGAGTTACCTCTGGTCGGTGAAACGCATAAATCTGTTAGACCAAAAGCAGTGAGAGACCGGGTTGAGGCATGGTTAAATTCAACTACAATAATATGCAGGTTGTCCTCAAGCAGTGGTACAAGAAAAGGTAAAAATGAGTCGAAGAATGCAGATATGGAATTTTGCGAACAGAACGGAGCAATATATAGGTTCGTTATGAAGGTATTTCTATATCGGGTGAATTTAGGGTAACATTGAAGAGACAAACAATCAATACCGTTACTTGAATATGAGTAAACGGCATCTGACTTGCCACACCACGAAGTGTTGACGTAGGTAACCACACCACCACCGGATTTCTTGCCACATGATTCCATGTCCTCCCGGTACAAGTTACATCCGTCAATGGACACTAACGCGTCAGTAACATGAGGGTTCAGTCAAGATTCTTGTATGCAAATCAGACAAGAATGAACGTGAATCCGGGAACGGAGAACAAATGATAAATCCGCGATTTTCGTGAACAATAATGTATGCTCGTACTCAGTAGTGATGGGACAGACATTTTTGACGAAGGGGTGCAGTTAAGAGCAACTTGCGTTTGTGTGAATTCCGAAATCCGAGACAATTGAGTGTGGTTGAATCAAATCCTGATATGAATACGTCAGAGCGTTTGTGTAGAAGTAATAAACGATAATTTCACTGATATACACAGGTGGTTGTCGTAGTGACCCAGATAACTATCGCACCGTTACTCTCCTTCCCGTATGATCCAAAGTCATGGAATCCACTGTGGCAGACAATATGATAAGTCACTTGGAGAAATACAACGCGTTATCCCTTGCTCAACATGGGTTTCGTCGCAGGCGATCGTGTACGAATAATCTGCTTCTGGACAGAGAAGAGTGAACAAAAGCAGCTGATCACGGTGATGCAGTGGACGTCGTGTACCTCGATTTCTCCAAAGCATTTGACCGAGTGATCGACGGAATTCTGCCAAATATGGAATTCGGGAACTTGTACTCCGCTGGATAGGAAAATTTCTACGACAACGCACCATGGCAGTTCGGGTCTCTGGTTCACTCTCGGATCCCATCAGCATAGCGCGAGGAGTTCCACAGGGATCCGTGCTGGACCCTCAACTTTCCTTGGTTTTATATACAATCTAACGGACAGTCTGGGGTCAGAAATGTTATTGTTCGCAGACGATACAAAAATATGGAAAAACGGCACAAACACAGAGAACTTGGTAACAATTCAGAGAACACTCAATGCCACCTATCAAATTTCGTTGGTAAAGGACATGGAATTTATTGCATCAAAATGTACGGTCGTATCGTTTCGACACAAAACTCGATTTCCGTAGTTTCTGTGAGATCAAAACCTCCGTTTGTCTCGAATGAGAACGAGCGCGGCGTCATTGTTCAAGACGACCTAAACTGTTCTTTAAACTACTCCCGGGCGTTGTCCACCGCTATAAGACACGTTGGTTTACTACAACCAGTGTTTGGCAAATTTGAACCTACGCTGTTTCCACGCGTGTTATCAGCTTACATTCGACCCCACTTAAAGTGCGCCATTCAAGCATGGAATCCATTGCTGTAACGCAATCGGAAGATTCTGGAACGCCCACAAAGAATGACCATCAAAATGGTCAAGTGACTGCATTCCAAGAGTTATGCGGATAGACTGGAATCACTGGAACTGTATTCCTCACAGTATCACACATTCGAGGGGACTTAATCCTGGTGTATCAAATAACGCAGGGCCCAGATCACCCATGTCGCCCACTCTTTTCATAACTTGTCCAACACTCACCTGAGGGGAGCTCATTCAAATTATTGCTCCAAAACGTCCGACTAGAATGCTGGCGTCATTCATTCGCCCTCAGAGTGTGCATTACTTGGAATTCTTTACCGCCACACATTGTTTCTGCGCCCAAAATTGACTCCCTAAAGCACAAATCGGATGATGCTTTGACTAGCCTCAAATTTCAGCATCCGTAGAAAAGCACGAACTAAGGATAAATTGTGACATTCGTCTACTTTCCATGATCTGTGCATGGATTCATCTGTACCAAACCCTATGGGACTGGAAAAGCAACCGCTTGTAATTAGTTCCCATAATAAAACGTTAAGTATGACTTTGAATTAAGGTACACAGAAATTCAACAGTGCGGATTAAAAACCTATTGTTACTGTCCACTGATTGCATAACGAACGACTCCATGTGTTCTCCGGTTTTTCGTTTTACTGTTTTCTGTAGTATTGATTTCGTTAGGTTTCAATCTTCGTATGCTAAAATTTCCCATTGAATAATCTGTAAATAGTGGAAAGGCACGGGCAATTAGGAAAACGATAAGGTTCATTCAAATAACTCACAAGATTCTTCAATTTGTTTGAAAGGGGCTAGAAAATATATTAAAATGAAAGTGTAGAATTCAATGAAAATTGGCATAATCGTACGAGAATAATTATTGAATCAAATACGGTAATACAATGTCTGATTGATACAATCAAAATTTTACAACTCTGATACACTTGCAATTGTAAATTTTGTTGACTCGTACAAATACCTTTGATCGAGCGCTTTGAAGTTGATGATGGTGTTTTTAATTTAAAAAACGAGTGACAGTGGCACCGGGGACACCGGAAATGACAAACAGACGAGGACCGAAATGCAGAAGTAACTGATCTCAAAATGGGCCGGATCTATGGAAGTGATTGTCCGAAAATCGATTGGAGTGAATTACTGATCTACTGTGCGAATCCCAGCTGTTCTTGAAAGAGGGAATCATAGTCACATATAAACAAGGGAACATATAAAATTTGGAATACTCTAATATGACTAACAATAGAGTTAACGTATCGGGAGATGAACAAACAGACCCGGTGATTGTAGCAGAAGGCAAAGCGACCAAGGAGCTCCTCGCCAGTATTTTAATGGCCTGCTGCAATAACACTGGTTGATACACGTCATCCATGCTAAGGTCTTTCCTCTCATTCACTTTCAGTTTTCGCATGGCGTAGTAAGGTCATCGCCACCCCGGGGGCTTATTGATTGATGAGGGTGCCCGAGGGTATGAATTGAAGACCTTAGGCCCTAGGTATGTACTAATCATCTCCGCAGTGTGCATGTAAAATATCGGCTTACTCTGTTTTTCTCTCTTATATGTGCTGTTTCTGTAAACCTGTACGTAAAACAATCGGGTTAACTGGAGAGTAGCTGATAACCTTTACTTTTTAGTGCTTTATCTTTTGTGAATGTGTCTGAGAATGTTATCAGATTGAATTTGCCCACGTGAACTGAACACCCGGTTTTGATGGATGGATGAAGTGTTTCATTTTTTTTAGCTTTTACGTATAAAAATGGCGTACTATAGGGATTTTTGTTTATTTGATTTGGGCCAAAAAATGCGAAACACTCAAGTCGATTTCAAAACAACTTTGTTGTCGATACAATATGTGCACAATCGATGGAATCCACAGTAAACCACGGAAATTTGAAATCAATAGATCCTCACATCCGTATACCCTGCCACAACCGACGGATAGAACTGTCGGAGAAAGATTACTGAAAATTGAGTTTTGGGTATTTCAATTAAAAGCAATTTCTTGCATATATCTAAGACTAGAATAACAGGCCAAGATATAAACCATAAAGACTTCCTGCCCAGGAGCACACTGACGTGCTCGTATAAGTTTATGTGGCAAACTTGGGAAACAAATTTGAACTAGAAGTTGAACAATTCAAATTTATTTATATATGCAGTCATTTCATTTTCCATCCACCCTGAGCCGAATCCGCGGTGAGATGATAGCGGAAAAAACTCGTGCAGATGAGTTGCATGATGCAAATTTAACTCACCGTTACTTGTGAGTAGTGTTGTCAGATAATTAATATTGATCTGAACTGAAAATCCTTCAGACTTTACCCTCACGCACATTCTTCAGCTCTTCGAGTTAACTATACCATTTGGAAAGCACTTAGTTCGCTTTTATTAGAGCTCATCAATTTCACCGTCCCGTCAGACTGGGATCAATGTTTTACAGTCTGTTCTTTCAACAGCAACCCCTCCTGTTGGTGTCACTTACAACATGCGGCGATTGACATCATGCGCGTTCCGAATGTATTTAGGCATCGAAAATAACACTGCGATCAACTGAAAAGAAGACAACATTGTCTTTAGAGGAACGAATCAACCTACCTCCTTGAAATTGTATTATTTGATATATATTCAAATCGGTCAATCAATAAAACCGTTTCTCATTTCAATTTCTTGCAAAAGATCGATCAGATTGAGGCATTCAGGCTTCCCACAAATCAAGTGCATCAAACTTCCCATCAAACTGGACATGAAAATTGTGTGAAACCGATAGAAGCGGCCACTATGTTTGTTACGAATGGTTTGGTAAGACCAAAATCACCGTTATTCACCCAATTATGCGGTATAGTAGCGGCATATGTTACCCAGCGCGTTTCCGGATTGGCAGTTCTGCACTAGGAAACTGGTCTTCGAGCGATACAGATAGATTTTTAGACTTTGAATATACCAGACGGTATCCCCTCGATACGTAACATTACACATGGAAGTCAGCATTCTTTGAACATCCGGGTGACCCAGGCACTCAGTTGTCTTGTGTTTCGAGCTATCAGAGTGCAAAGTAATTTTACAAGACTGACAGGAGACTGTTCCTGCTCTCGGCCACAGTTAGCTGAGAGAATGTGGCACCCCGGTAGCAGAAGACGGTGAAAGAGGTGTTTTGGGAGAGGTTTCTTTAGTGATTGTAGCAGTAATTTGGAGAGCATGAACTTCATGATTTATTAACTGTCTCACGGCTTCAGTCGACGTGAATACATCCATGGCACACCCCGCTTAGGCAATTCGCACCTCTTCCCGCAGATTATCTGGCAGACTCTCCACGACACGCTCCAGTAATAGTTCGGAGCGAACAGCAGCGTTCAAAATTGGCAGCGCTCGATCCAACAGGGCTCTCAGGGCCACGGCGTGCGACAGCGGGTCCGCCTCAACTTCGAGCTGCGCCATCTGGAAGCTCCACAACGCCTTCCGGCAGTCGTCCGGGGTGTCGAAACCCGCGATCAAGGCGTCCTTCGCGGCGGCCCGCTCCATGTTCTCCGCACCTCTTCGAGCAGCATCCAACACCGGCCGCACCCGGCTCTTGAGAACCGTTCGGAGGGCCGTCAACTTACCCCGGTCCGACAGTATTCCTGCCAGCTCCGTGACGTCCTCGAAATCTTCCACGAGCGCCCGCGCGTCTACATCCTCGAAGGCTCCTAACCATGGGACCTTCATTCTGATCCCGGTGACGGTGCCAGTTGTTATAATTTCATAATACGGTGTTAGTCGAGAATCTTTGTTTTTTGTCAATAACGTTCGAGATTTGGTTTAATTGTCATTCAAAATATCTCATTTGGAACAAGGTTGCAGAATTCCCACACGCACACAGGATAGTTAATGGAACGATCCACTATTAAATGCTTATTCTTGTATTCACCATACCGAACATCAGCAGTTTGCTTCAACAGGTATTGTTGATTTTTGGTCATTGAAAGGAACCGCTGATGGCATCTTTTTGCATACTGCTCACTTGTGAGTAGTATCTCACAACAGTAGTGGTAGTGGTGGTAGAACGCACTGAACTCGGAATAAGAATCACGCAGTATGGATCGCGGAATGCGAATCAAGGATTAGCAATCACGGACTGGATCACGTAAGCACTGGACCGAACTGGAACTTGCATGCAATATCCTACGTAACTGAGACGCGCGTGAAAGGCCGCAGGAGTAGCAGTTCATTTACTGGAAGAAATAAAGGGGATTAAATAACATGTACAAATAAAGTTTATTGGTTATCCGGGCGTCTAACAACTGCGTTCGATTATCGCCTTTATCGTTTCACTTCTGCCTGGATCGCACGACCTCTGACTGGCTGCTACGATCTGCCTATGGCATGTAGTCAGAAACAGTGACACGTACGTGTATTGTTCACATGACCCGTGAAGTTCTATTGATCGCATTTGTCCAAAAATTGTAACGCATCGCTCCAGGGTGGACGTCATCTCGTAGGCCCGGATCACAACAGTGTCACCTCAGGGATAACAAAAAATAAACAGAGCTTTTGTACACTCACGTCACCTGCGATGCCATCCGATGAAATCCGACCTTTTTTCAAGGGATGGGTGTACACTAAAATGGTTTGTAATGTGCCACTTTACCGTTGTGAGAGGTAGCCAGACCCTCCGGAATGAGGAAACCACTCGACGTTTTGCCGGGGGAGACGGGCGTTGGGAAACAATAGCATGTACAAATAGATGGTTGTTAATGCATTTATTACCCCGCCCATTAATTGGATCCACAAAATGAACACGTGATCAATTGACAATCACATAACAACAACAATAATCACAGTTGAAACACCAAATATCATCATACCGGAATTTAATTGTCATGACAAAATTTGTGCACTTCGAATTTGCACAAGGTCGTCACTGATGGCCCTTTATTTTCAAACTAACCACTGGTGGTGGTGGTGGTGGTGGTGGTGGTGGTGGTGGTGGTGGTGGTGGTGGTGGTGGTG